ATTCCATATGATGGTGAAAATGATCTGCATAGTCCACCAGAAAGACATTCATTGCTGGGAGATAATTTTTCCAAACCCAACACGCTTGCTCATGTCCATCAAGATCAAACGTTGTAAAAGTCATTCCAGCAACTGTCAGCTCTTCTGATGTCAGATGTAGTGTTGGAACATGTTGACTCAATCTGTCATCTTTGAGCATGTGGTTTTGCCCACATTGTCCAAACTCAAGAATACAAGTTTTCCAGATTTTGTGTAGAGTCCTGGGAACTGGAGCACATTGTTGAGGCCATTTAAATCCACTCAAAAATGGAAGACATTATTAATGCATACAGTGGACAGCTTGGACCCTCCCTCAGAGCACACAGACCAGTAGGAGCACCCAGGACCACCAGCTACTCACTGGATCGAGGATTTGTCTTTTTTTAAAAAAATCTGAATACCTAATTTTTTTTTTTTTTTTTTTGAGACAGAGTCTCACTCTGTTGCCCAGGCTAGAGTGCCGTGGCATCAGCCTACCTCACAGCCACCTCAAACTCCTGGGCTCGAGCAATCCTACTGCTTCAGCCTCCTGAGTAGCTGGGACTACAGGCATGTGCCACCATGCCCGGCTAATTTTTTCTATATATTTTTAGTTGTCTGGCTAATTTCTTTTTTTTAGTAGAGACGGGGTCTTGTTCTTGCTCAGGCTGGTCTCGAACTCCTGAGCTCAAGCAATCCTCCCGCCTTGGCCTCCCAGAGTGCTAGGATTACAGGATTATAAGCATTCCTGATTTGCATTCAGGTATTGCCCTTCCCCTTGCAACTGTGGGTTTCAAGGAATGCTATACTCCACCCCAATCCAGGGGGAAATGATGGTGATCTCCAGTCTCAACATTCCATGATAGGAGAAAGAATGTGACTTAATACTTGCTTGGAAATCTGGACATTCTCTCTCTCACTAAACATTAACAAAGAAACATGAACCCTGATTACTCTGGCAGCCACCTTATCACATCATGAATAGCAGAGCAGACAAAAAGAACCAATTCTTAGTGTCATCCTTGAGCCACTGGATCAATCAAACATGAAGGGAGATCTACTCCTGACTTTTCAGCCAATAAATTTACTTATTCTGTAAACTCTTACTTTTTAGAACAGTTTTAGGTCCACAGCAAAATTGAGCACAAGGTACAGAGATTTCCCATATACTCCCTGCCCCCACCCGTGCACAGTTCCCTTCCATCCACCATCAACATCCCACACCAGAATGGTACATTTGTTACAAATGATTAACCTATAGTGACACATCATTATCACCCAAAGTCCAAGATTTACTTTAGGGTTCACTCTTGGTGTTATGCATTTTATAGCTTTGGACAAATGTATATGTCATGTGTCCACCATTATGGTGTTATGGTATAATACAGAATAGTTTCACTGCCCTAAAAACTGCCTGTGCGCCAACTATTCATCCCTTCCTCCCCTCAACCCCTGGCCACCACTGATCTTTTTACTGTCTCCATAGTTTTGCCTCTTCCAGAATGTCATATAGTTGGAATAATACAGTACGCAGCCTTTTCAGATTGGGTTCTTTCACTTAGTAATATGCATTTAAGGTTTCTCCCTGTCTTTGCACAGCTTAATAGCTCATTTCTTTTTAGTGCTAAATAATATTCCGTTGTCTGAATGTACCAGTTTAATTATCTATTCACCTATTGAAAGACATCTTGGTTGCTGCCAAGTTTTGGCAATTATAAATAAGGCTATTATAAACATGTGTGTGCAGGTTTTTGTGTGGTCATAAGTTTTCACCTCATTTGGGTAAATACTAAGGAGCCTGATTGCTGGATTGTTTGGTAAGAGTATGTTTAGAAGGTGAGAAACTGCCAAACTGTCTTCTAAACTGGCTGTACCATTTTGCATTACCATCAGCAATGAATGAGAGTTCTTGTCACTCTACATCCTCACTAGCATTTGGTGGTGTCAGTGTTATGGATTTTTGCCATTCTATTAGGTGGGTAATTTCTTTTATTTTTGTTTTGTTTGTTTGAGACAGAGTCTCACTCTGTCATCCAGGCTGGAGTGCAGTGGCAAAATCATAGCCCACCACAACCTCAAACTCCTGGGCTCAAGCTATCCTCTTGCCTCAGCCTCCCAAATAGTTGAGACTACAGGTGCACACCACCATGCCTGGCTAATTTTTCTATTTTTTTGTTGAGATAGCATCTCACTCTTTCTCAGATTGGTCTCGAACTCCTGACCTTAAGCAATCCTCCCGCCTTGGTCTCCCAAAGTGCTAGGATTACAGGTGGCAGCTACCGTGTCCAGCCTGAATTATTTTTTAACCACGTTGTTGTTACTTGTACTCAGAAGAAGCCTAACTAACTTAACTGACATGGTCATGGAATTATTAAAAGACCAACCTGATTCAAGAGAAATAAAATTTTAACTGATAAAAATAAAGTCATATGATACTAGAAGAAAATAAGATAGAACAAATTTAATAATGCTAGGGAGAGGAAGGTATTTCTTAACATGACGCACAGCCCAGAAACCATAAAGGAAAAGACCAAGAGATTCAATATCATAAAATTCAAAAATAGGGGACAAGATAATTAATAGACAAATTACATAATGGGAGAAAACATAGCATATAACAGGCAATATATAAAAGGATATATAAAAGGTTTCTACACAGTAATAAAGAATATGGACAAAAGAAAAAAACACAGCTTTCAGAAGGAAAAATATGAGTTGACAATAAATATAGGAAAATAATATTGGCTCCACTTGATGGACTAAATTCATCACTCTTCTTCCACAAATCCCTTAAAGTGAAAGCAAAGATAAATTTTAAAAAGGAATAATTTATAACAATCTTAGAAGATGAAAAAAGAGTGCTATTTAATGTCCAGAAAGTATGAGGATATAATATCCTAGAATATAAAACCAGAAAAAATGAGATCCAAAAGAATGGAGGAAGTCAGTGGCCAAATATGTGCCAGAAAAAGCTACTCAAAATGGAAAAATACCACTGGGCAAGGTGGCTCATGCCTGTAATCCCAGCACTATGGGAGGCCGAGGCAGAAGGATCAGTTGAGGCCAGGAGTTTGAGGTTGCAGTGAGCTATGATCAGACCACTGCACTCCAGCCTGGGTGACAGAGTGAGACCTTATTTCAAAAAACAAAACAAACAAAACAGAACAAAAAAAACCCACAAGGAAATCTCTAGTCAATTGCCTAGGGCAAGGTAACTGTGTTATCAAAATTATTCTGGGCTATGCTGTGGAATCTGTGAAATCTCACTGGCTTATTATAACAAAGTTTTATTTGTGACTCTTCTCACAATATGAAGCACATTGCACAATAGTACACCTGTTCTCAGTAACTCTTACTTAAGCATTAATTTATGGGTTCAGGTATGTTCTCTAACGTAGCTATATTATCTGGAACACACTGGTTGGCTTCCAAAATTGCCATGGAAAGGAGTAGGGAATCATGATTTATGACTGGTGGAGAAATAAGATGTTATTATTTTGCTCTGATCTCATTAGTAGAACTTAGTCATACAAACCCAGCAAGCCTACAGAGGAGGCTGGGAACTACAGTCATCCTAAGTATCCGGAAAAGAGGAAATGAACTGGTTACATTAATTAATTTAAAACCTGCATTCAGAATGGTGTGGCACTGGGAACCAATCAGGCTCTTCCGCAAACACACACATACTGAGCTGCAGTCCCCTGTGGCATTTTGCCCTGGATTATACCTGAGATTATGCTCTATAAAAAGTGAAGAATCTTCCAGGAGAAGGATCTTAGCTGTAAATATAGAGGCTTAGAGACAGAACAGATCTTGAAGTAACTTAAAACTTCCATAATACACAGAGAGGGTGGGGGAAAGAGGGAAAGGCAGCTTTTCCTTGGGGCAAATATACTATTAATAAATACCTCCAGTTCAAGAATTACGTAGTAAAGTCCTCTTTTTCTGGAAATGGGGGAGAGGTTGTCCCTAGCCAGCCTGCATGCTCAATGACCAGAAGTTAAGCCTGACACTGACATTCACATGCCCTACAGATTTACACAGAGTCTATTCAGTCACTTCCCATTCAGGACAGACCCCCAAGTGGATGCCAGAAACTGTGGAAAGTACCGGACGCTACAAATACTGTTTTTTCCTATACATACATCCCTATGATAAAGTTTAATTTCTAAATTAGCAACAGCACTCTTGCACTTTGGGATCATTAATAAAATAAGGGTTACTTGAACGCAAGCCTTGCAATACCTCCATGTGGATCTGATACCCTAGATGGCCGCTAAGTGACTAACAGGTGGGTAACTTATACAACGGGACTAATCTGGACAAAAGGATAATTTATATTTTGGGCAAAACAGAGCAGGACAGCACGAGATTTCATCACGATACTCAGAACAGCACAAATTTTAAAACCTATGAATTGTTTATTTCTGGAATTTTCCATTTAATATTTGTCCACCCCGATTGACCACGAATAACTAAAACCACAGAAAATATGTCTGTTGGGCTTGTGAAAATTCACTGAACTGTATGCATAGGATTTGTGCATTTTGAAGGTACGTAAGTTATACTTTATTAAAAGCTTAAAAAAAAAAAAAGCTGCCATACAGCCCACGAAGGGACTGGAATTTGGCTTGATCTCACTCACCTCTGGTTTCAGCACGATCTGTCTCGCAAGAACTTTCGCTCCGAGAGTGGAGCAGGGCAGAGAAGCGTCCTGGGAGCCGGTTGAGGCCACACCCAAACCCTCTGGAGGCCCCTGCGCGCCCCGCCCCAGACCTCAAGAGTCCTATTCATTTTGCCTCAGACGAGTCCGGGCCGTCGGGTCCACGGGTCTGAAGTGACCAGACGCCTCCCGGGGTGGCTCAGCCACCGACCGCTCCTGGTGCTGGGGAAGCCAGACTCTGTCAGGACTCGACGCACTCGCCACGACTTCCGACGGGCCTCAAGACCTCGGTCCCCTGCTCACCCACTCCGGGTCCGCGATGACGACGACGCTCACCCTGGAGCCCGCGGGCTGCTGCTGGGACGAGCCGGTGCGCATCGTCGTGCGCGGCCTGGCCCCTGAGAAGCCGGTCACGCTGTGCGCGTCCCTGCGCGACGAGACGGGCGCGCTCTTCGGGGCCCACGCGCGCTACCGCGCCCACGCCGCCGGCCAGCTGGACCCGCGGGCGGCAGCTTCGCGGGGCTCGAGCCCATGGGGCTGCTCTAGGCCCTGGAGCCCGAGAAGTCTTTCTGGCGCTTTCTGAAGCGCGACGTGCGGACGCCCTTCGCTGTGGAGCTGGAGGTGCTGGACGGCCACGGACCCGAGGCCCGGCGACTGCTGGGCCAGGCGGTGCACGAGCGCTACTTCCTGCCGCCCGGAGTGCAGCGGGAGCCGGTGCGCGCAGGCCGCGTGCGCGCCACGCTCTTCCTGCCGCCAGGTGAGCAGGGGCTTCGGGAGTGTGTGAGGGTCGGTGGCCTCCGTGCTGCTCTAGCTGAGGTTTGGCTCCGGAGCAAGGTCAGAAAAGCTGGCATTGGCTGTCAATAGCTGCTCAACCAAAATGGAGGATTCTAATGATAGGCTCTGCACTGTGCACCTTACTTACATTCTATCATTTAATCTCTGTAATATCCCAATGAGGTGGGTGTTGTTATTCTGCAGATGACAAGCTAGGGTCAGATTGGTAGGTACATTGTCCTCTGCTATTAATCACTCCCCTTCAGGTCCCTGCAGGCATCAGCCCGACTGGTCTTAGGCAAAATGCTGACGGTCAAGGAGGCTATTGCCATGTCCCCTTCTCTAGTGTCCTGGGCACACTGGGACCTTCTCCACTTCTTCATGTCCCTCTTTACTGCAGATCCCAGTTCAGACTTCACTGCCTTCTCATCTAAAGCCATCTCTGGATATTTCTTTTTCTTTCCTCACTTTTAAGTAGACATCTGAAATATGAGGACACAGAAACCCTGATGGTTGATGCAACACAACATAAGCTTTATTTTAGATTCTTAATTCTATGTCCAGTCCTCCAACAGAGCATTGTAAATCAACACCATCTAAAATGTGAAATCCCTCCTTCTATGATATGTTCATTAACAAAAGACTTTGTTAGTCCGCCTTATGACAACTTAAAGATTCTTAGAATCTTGCAAACAATTTATCACAGAATCACTGGAGGGTCACATCATCAATGAGAAGGTACTCTGTGTTTTAGATTTTTCTCCCCCCAAGCAACTTGTGTCCCTTTTTAGTAGTGACTCAGGCATCTGCTCTTTTCCCTTTAATTTATAGCAGCCCACTAAATAATTTAGAAGGATGTGTAAAAGGAAAGCAAATTCTTTAAATTGTATAATACCTTTCCTCTATCATATTCCATTCTCTAGGACCTGGACCCTTCCCAGGGATCATTGCCATCTTTGGTCTCGGAGGGGGCCTGTTGGAGTATCAAGCCAGCCTTCTGGCTGGCCATGGTTTTCCCATGTTGGCTCTAGCTTATTATGACTTTGAAGATCTCCCCAAGCAACTGGACAACATACACCTGGAGTACTTTGAAGAAGCCCTATGCTACATACTTCAGCACCCCCAGGTTCTCCCATGTCCTTTATTTAATCAGTCTCTCTAGAAACATCTCCATGGAGGGTGTCACCTTTACCAGGTGCAGTGATGCTATTCTGTTCCTCTTTCACAAAGATTTCTTTTGGAGACTTTTTGAACTTAAGGTACATATTATTTCCACTTTCTCTGCCAGATGGATTCATGGTGTAAAATTAATGGTAAAATCCAAGTGAGAGTCTACTTAGTAATATTAAGATGCCTTTTATAATGCAGATTTAGCTTCTAATTTATTTTCTTTGTATGCTTGTTTTTAATCTTTAATTTTCTGTTATCAGAGTAGATTCTCAGATTTTCATCACACTTGTCCACTCCTTTCAGAAGCTAAGAACTACTTATTTGGGCTCCTAAGTTTTGTTTTGTAATCGTTTGCCAATATATATGGATGGGGCCTGAAGAATAATTCAGCTCTTGGAATAGAATTTTAGATCCACACCATTGGATACACAGCCACATTAAAACTTGGATCAGGCCTACCCAAGTGAGACCCTGAACTTGACAGTCTCCATGAGGCTTAGCATTCTCTAGTGGATGAGCCTCTGGAACATTATCAAATATGCCAATGAGTTTAAGATTTTTTTGCCATGTGTTCAGCTAGATGTTTAATACATGAGAAGAAACTCCACAAATGATCAGCTACGGTTGATTCTCTTATGGGCAGTTCTCAGATTAAAGCTAGCAATACTTCTAGTTGTGTTTTAGAAATATATTTTTGTGTTGGATGAGTTCTTGACTCTTCTCTCTTCTTTTCTTCCAGGTAAAGGGCCCAGGCATTGGGCTTTTGGGCATTTCTTTAGGGGCTGATATTTGTCTCTTAATGGCCTCATTCTTTTTTTTTTTTTTTGAGACAGAGTCTCGCTTTGTTGCCCGGGCTAGAGTGAGTGCTGTGGCGTCAGCCTAGCTCACAGCAACCTCAAACTCCTGGG